TGCTGGGCATTGGTTGTTGTCGGTTTGTTCTCATTGGCGGTAATTGTAATAAAAAGAGACAAGTGATCCTCTGCGATCACATAGAACCTCTGCGTTCACTTGTCTGTATTTGTATATACAGTTGTAGATTGACATGGGACCCTAAGCGGTCACTCAGAACCATTGCGTTCACTTGTCTTTTAGAAATGAAAGCATCAACACACGCATTTGAAGGTGAGTTTCTCACTCCCTCACCTAAACGCCAGTTTTGCGACGCTTCTTGTCTGCAATAGCACAACTACTGTTGCCGTCAAGGAGTTACTACTAAGTGGCACCAAGGAATATAAATTTAAATAATGATATTCTCCGAAGGTTCTTCAGTTCATTAGGTAGTTTATTGAACTCTGAACATCCTATATACGAAATTTTTTGTTTAGTTAGTTCAATTCTACACCGAGCTACCCTCAGATTTGTGCTGTTTCTTGTGTTAAAAACGTTTTGATTCACCAAAAATTTAATAGTGTGATGACCCATGTTATGAATACATTTATACATATACAGTAATAACCGCAATTTGAAAATACAACATAGCGGCATAACAGAAGGAAACACCTGTTTTTACAGTTGACTAGTTGGGTATAAAATTGGAAGATTAGCCACAATTTTTAAAGCCTTATTTTGCAATCTGGACAGTGAATTAAATTCAACACTTTTTCGGAAACCATATAATAATGTTAAATAGTTTAGATGACTATGTATCAATGATTGGTAAATCAATAACTTTGTTTCATAATTAAACTTATTTTTAAACTTATACAAAAGACCCAAAGCTCCTGACACTTTCTTCTTCACATGTTGAATATGGTAATCCCATGATAAATTACTTTGCAAATATAGGCCTAGATATTTTACAGAATATACCTCTCTAACTTGAGTACCATTAACATTAATACTGAATACACCATTGTTGTCAACATGCGGTTTAAAAAGTATTATATTCGTTTTATTTGCGTTTAAAAAAAGTTTATTGATTTGTGCATACTCATTAATTAAAGCAGCATCACGCTCCATATATATCTTTACAACTGTTTCATGTTTATAAGGGTAAATTAGGCAAATGTCATCCGCATACAAAAACATTTTCCCAGATAATCCCAAGTTTGCTATGTCATTGATATACAACTTAAAAAGTAACGGTCCAAGGACACTTCCTTGAGGTACGCCATGTGCAACGCATGCTTCTGAGCTTTTTTTGCCATCAATTTCAACAAATTGTTTCCTATTCTCCAAGTAGCTTTTTAATATTAGTAAAGCATTTTGTCTAAAGCCATAAAATCTTAATTTTTCTAACAAAATTCCATGGTCCACAAGGTCAAAAGCCTTTGAGAAGTCATAGAATATTGCAAATACGCCTTTTGCACCATCATCTAATCCATTGCATACAGTTTCAATAAAATTAACAGTAGCTTCTTCTGTTCCACACCCCTTCCTAAATCCATACTGAAAATCACAAAGTACGTTGTTATTCTCAAGATAGTCTGTCATCTGTTTACATAATATATTTTCAAAGACCTTTGTAAAAACTGATAAAACAGCTATTGGCCTGAACTTGTTGATACAACTTACATTTGGTTCTTTAGGAATCGGTATAATCTTATGTATTTTTAGAGCATCAGGGTACACACCCTTGTCTAGCATACAATTGAAAATGGTCACAAGATATGGAGCTAATAAGTGACAGCATAGCGAAACAGTTTTTGAGAAATATTATCGTAACCTGAACTACTTTTCTTTGATAACTGAAGAATTATATGTTTCACTTCATGTATGGTTGTATAATTGAAGTTAATATGTATATTCATCCAATTTACAGTTCTCATTGAGTTCCAGTAATCACTACCATTCTGAGCAATGCGTGTTTTCAATTCTTCCACAGAATCCAAAAAATATTGGTTAAAAGTATTGACCTTTTCAAAATCATCCGAAATCATGGTACCGTCACCTCTTCTGATGTTAATGTCCTTCGTTTCCTTTGACCTGCCAAGATTTTTGTTTAAAAACTTCCAGCATTTGGCTGGTTCGCTACGTAGGCTTTCAAGGTTATAACTGTAATAATTACTTCTTGATTCTCTGCAAGATCTCTTTATAATTTTACTTATAGACTTAAGCTGTTTTTCTATTAAATAACCGCCTTTATTTTTACGTCTGGATTTTAATAACTTTTCCTTAAATTCTATTAATTTTCTCAAATTCGCATTTACCCAAGGAGTAATATTATATTTTCCTGATCGGTTGCAGGTTCTAATAGTTGTAGATTCTTCCAAACATTTCTGAATTGTGGTTATTAACTTGGCCATATCAACCGATGGATTTCCAGTAATACAAAACATAGGTAAATCTCGTTCAATGCAACGTATCAAATTATCTTGATTAATAAAAGAGTAAGTTTTATTATTGCTGGCATGATCCACAATGGAATTACCTACACAAAAGTAAACGATGTTATGGTCAGTCAATTCACACTCTACAGAGACTATATCGGAAATACCTTCAAAATTTGAGTAAATGTGATCAATGCTTGTACCACTTACGGGTCTTGTCACCAAAGAATGACAACTTTTAAAATCGTATGTTGCAAGTAAGCTTGAAATGGCATTTGATGCATTATCGTCTAACATATCTATGTTAGCATCTCCAACAAACATACATGGATATCTCCCAAAGTTGTTCAACGTTTCGTCTACAAAGGAAAGGAATGAATTGGTTGGGCATTTTTGGGATCTATAAAATGAAACAAGCCTTGCAGGTTTACCAAGCCATTTAACTTCATCCAAACTGATTTGAACAAAATCTATAAAATTACGACTTTCGCACAAAATAATATCAAACTTTATGTCATTCCTAACATATACAGAAGTTCCTCCAAACCCATCAACTCTACAACAGTGCACCGCTCTGTAACCAGCTATGTTATATATTTGAGAAACTTCGCTCTTAAACCAAGTTTCCTGCACAGAAACAACACAAGGCAACGTTGGCAAACTCGATAGCAATGTTCTGAACCTATTAAATTTATTAATGGAAGATAAGCTTCTCATATTTATTGACATTACTTTGAAAGGTATATTATTCAGAGTTTGTATATGTTTTTTAAATAATGCAAATTCGCTAAAGTAATTATTTGACATAGAAAAAAAAAAGAAAAAATGGATTTTATTCAAAGTTGATAACACTTATTAAAAAAGAATGTTTATAAAATTTACGATGATAGATATGTCTCTTCTTCATCAATAGCTTCATCTTGGCATCTTTCTCGGGTGGTTTTATGAGTTGTTGCTTCAAGCAGTAATTTATTGACATCATCCTCATCAGCAGCATAAACCGAGCGAAAACCAACGTTCTTTAATGATTTGGCATAATTGAATAAAATCATAGTCTCACGGCTTAGAAAATCATTAACGTACACATTTTTTGTTTCTTCATTTTCCTTTAAATTCTTTTTCATCGACATGATCTTGCTTTTCGTTTGTTTTGATTTCGTTTTAACAACAATCGATTGAGCAGTATTCTTCGATTGTTTCTTTCTCATAAAGAATACATCTTCAATATTTTCTTCGGTTATGTCAACACCAGCACTTTTAGTTAAATTCATGAGAGTTTCCATTGCCGTAGCATTATCAGTTTTTACAACACCAGATATAATGCAATCATTTTTTACTCTCTCATCATTAATGTATTTAATAGAACTTCTCAAGACTTTAACTTCTTCTCTTAAATGTTTGTTTTCTTTTTCAATTATTTCTAATTTTCTTTTGTTTTCAGCAACTCCTTTAAGTATTTCGTCATATTGCTTTGACATGAAATTCATAGTTTCATGCATTGCTGTTAATTGATCCAGTTTCTTTAGCTCTCTTTTTATTAAGTTCAGCTCAGTTTGAAGGCTTCTACTACTCTCACTACAAAGGTGACACACAAAATCTTCACATTCATTTTTTAAGAGATGTTGATATTCCCTTTTGTTCAGCTTAGTGCACACAACGTGAAGAATTTTTTTACATTTGTCGCACTCAATTGATTCTTCTTCTTCTTCATTTACAACAAGATTGCATTGTCCACAAAATATTTGATTGTTTTTCACACTTCTTCTACTTTTACTAGGCATTCTCGATGTTACCCGAAAAAAATAGTTTTTAAAACATATGAAGATATATTTTTGAAAAGACAATCGATAATATTTGCCAGTTTTTTAATTAAATTTGACTTGTGTAGTACTTCCAATAACTGTCGAGGAAATTACTTCGGTGATTCTAAGAAGTAACGCTATTTAGTCTTCCCAAAGGATGCAACTTGCGCGGTGAGAAAGCGATAACAACCGCGATGATTTCTTTCGCATACATGCGACTTCTTAGTCACTTGCTGGATATTTTGTGTTTGCAGGGTTCATGCATGTAATTGTTAAAAGTTTTTCTACACAACATCATTTAGTAGCTATTGGAATATGGGTTTTCTTAGTTTTAACCAATTCAAAAAAGTAATTGACAGTTCATTGTGGCACTAGATCCGTTGATGTGTCTACCTACATTATATTTCCATGTAGTGGGAGCGTTTTTGAAACAGAAGTGACTCGGGAGCGCTCCACACAAAACAAAGGAGCGAAGAGTAGGTCCGAATAACACTCCCACTCTTCGAGCAATCCTCCTAGTGAGGAATTGTCACTCCCAAAAATCTGTGTGTTTACTTAGAGTTAACGAATATGCGAACTTACTGGCACTTAGAAGCTGCTCGGCTAGATATTAAGGAATGGGTAAAGAAAACCCGTATATTACGATCATTTATCCATACAAGTGGAAACAAGTTAGATATACTAACAGCATCAAAGTAAACTAAGTATACTGGCTTAAAACCTAAACAACTACAGTGTCTTGCTACGCTTATATATATGTCAACTTTCGATGTACACTTTAGTACATCATCTAAATTTTTGAATATGATAAGAATATGAATTTATACTTGTGAATAAGGGCAAACTAGTAACACAATGGACGCAATACAACACGGTTGGTTTAGTGAAATACAAAATGAATTATGGCCGGGTCAAAGTTTCTCTTTAAAAGTGAAAACTGTTCTTCACAAAGAAAAATCAAAGTTTCAAGACATACTCATAATTGATACGTAAGATTAAAAAATATTTTCTTCTTAACTTATAAACCATTTATATATATACATATATATATATATATATATATATATATATATATATATATATATATATATATATATATATATATATATATATATATATATATATATAGATTCGGTCCCGCTTGTAACTCTCGATTCAGATTCCAAGACAACATATGTCAAAGGATGCTCACGACCGCAGGATTAAGACAGGCCAAAGAAGATTTTGTGATCTTAGGTTACACTTCTAATGTAGTGTAGCTTCGTACACCTTTAAACATTCGTCATTCCGTATGTAACTCTTTGCAATAAACAGTTTAAGCCAAACAAAGAATATTTATATCCCTGAACCGCATAAAATTCTGTGTCGATTTAGCCATGTTCGTCTATCTATCTATTCCTCCGTCAGTGGAAATCACTCTGACTTCCGAACGGAATAAAATAGAAGAATACAATTTGAGTCAAATTTAATTAAGTCCTTAGAAGTTATGGTATTAAAACTGGGCCTTCTAGATGCATGTTTTTTATAGCCCTCATATAGCGGTATCGCCCGAATTAAGCTATCATCAAAAATCCACTAAAAATTCGTCTCCTAATAACTGGTTCATCGAATACATTTAACCTGCGCAGCTCTAGGTAGTATGTATTTATTTAACTGTTACCAAAGCCTGTATAGCTAATTTTCTGGGAACGGTTACAAAATATGACAATACCAAAAACAAAAAAAAAACTTCAGCCGTCCTGAATTATATTTGAATAAAATTTTGTTTACATACTTCATTCCGAACGATTTCCCCAAATGGAGATGATTAAAACGAAATGCATGGTATATTAGGTTTGTCATTCCGTTTCCTCCTCCTTGCTCATGTTGTAATCACGCTATCTTCGAATTAGTGTACAACAAACACTTCCACACATGTATAATGTATTAGTAAACAGCTTTAGTTCATACATGAGCCATGTCGGTCCACGTTTTCATATAGCATCCATATAACCGTACTTGGCAATATTCAGTGTTTTGAATATTGAAGTCACTTGTTTTAACGGAATTATTTCAAATTTTATACTATTTGGTTCTACATCCATTGGCAGAATACGTTTAACTATAGCCCATATAGGGCTATTCTTGGTATTATATAGCTACAATAGGTCCATATCTTCTTATATCTCCCATATAATGGAACCACCGAATATTAGATGACAATTTTTCCTAATTCTTCAAGAGAATGGTTTAAAAGGTTAAATTTGAAATTAGCAGTAGATAGCAAGCACTGTAGCAAGAAATGTAGTTTCTCGTTTTAATGTGGCCGACATATAATCTCATTGGCGGTAATTGTAATAAAAAGAGACAAGTGATCCTCTGCGATCACATAGAACCTCTGCGTTCACTTGTCTGTATTTGTATATACAGTTGTAGATTGACATGGGACCCTAAGCGGTCACTCAGAACCATTGCGTTCACTTGTCTTTTAGAAATGAAATGGTCACCTTTGGCACGAAATATCGCCTTCAAACGGCCAATGAAAACGTCACACTATCACGCCTGAATTCCATCAGCAATAACTTTTTTCTGGAAAATTCTCACAAAAATGCTTTTGTACCCTTGTAAGCAATAAAATGAGCTGTCACTGGAATAATTTTACAATTTGCATACTAACAAGTAAAGAAGCCGTAAGTTCGGCCGGGCCGAACTTTGAAATCCCCTGATCATTTGAAAAGAATTAGAAAATTTAAAAAAAAAAAATCCATGAAAAATTCTTTAAAATACCTTATATCGGAAGGTGCCGATATATGGAGGGATATACGATATTGTGGACCTATGTAGACAAATCTATGTATAGGGGTAAAGTACTCACAACGAACTCCTCGTGTAGAATTTCAGACAATTCCGTTGAAAATGTGACTAAAATCATCAAAATACCGATAATTATCTTCCAGGGGATAAGTGGATGTTCAGACAATTCCATTGGAAAATGTGGCTAAAACCATCAAAATACCGAATATCGGAGGGTACCATTATAAGGGGGATATAAGCTATATGTGGCTAAAATATAGACAATTCTCTTTCAGGGGGTAAAGTACTCACAACGAACTAATTGTGTAGAGACTTCAGACAATTCCGTTGAAAAATGTGGCTAAATCATCAAAGTACGGAATATAGGGGGTGGGGGTACCGTTATATGGGGATATACGATACGATATAGAGAATTATCTTCCAGAGGATAAAGTACTCACAAGGAACTCCTTGTGTGGATTTTCAGACTATACCATTAGAAAATGTGGCTAAAATTATCAAAATACCGAATTTCGGAGGGTACCATTATATGGGGGATATACGTATTGTGGTCCTATTTAGACAATTCTCTTTCAGGGGGTTAAGCTCACAAAGAACCCCTTGTGAAGAATTTCAGACAATTCCGCTAAAAAATGTGGCTAAAATCGTCAAAATACCGATTATGGGGGGTGGGGTAGCGTTATATGGGGGCTATACGATATCGTGGATCTCTATAGATGATTCTTTTTTAATGGATAAGGAACTCATAAGGAATTCCTTGTGTGGATTTTCAGACAATTCCGTTGAAAAATGTGACTGAAATCATCAAAATACCCAATATCGGGGGGTACCGTTATATGGGGATATACGATATCGTGGACCTATATAGACAATTCTCTTTTAGGGGTAAAGTACTTACAAGAGACTCCTTGTGTTTCAGACAATTCTATTGAAAACGTAGCTAAAATCATCAAAATACTGAATATCGGGGGAAACGTTATATGGAGGCTAAACGATATCGTGGACCGATATAGCCCATCTTTGAATTTGACCTACCTGCAGACAAAAGAGAGATCTGTGCAAAATTTTAGCTTTCTATCTTAATTCGATTTGTCTGTAGCGTGATTACAAGAGTCGGACAGGGCTAAATCGTCTTAGAATTTTACGCTGATCAAGAATATATATATATATACTTTGTTGGTCTAAAATGATTATTTCGATGAGTTACAAACGGAATGTTGTGTATGGTGGAGGGTATAAAAAGACAGGAAAAGTACACAAAGGTACAAACTTTTATAAACTTTGTTAACTTTTTTTATTGGCCTTTATAACATTGGACAATATTAACAATGCTCTAAAAGGGGGTGTATAAGTTCGATACGTTCCACCACAACTTTCCAATACTCGTCAATCACGGATGCTGATTGGCAGACTGGCATCTCCTCTACAACTCCCTTGGCGGATACCGTAGTGAGCGGATCGCCGCTGGGTATTTGTTGTTGGCGGTAGGCTCACCTTGCTCTCACTGGAAGTAGTTGTAGTTGTAATAATATACAGACATGGGACCCTCAGCGGTCACTCAGAACCTCTGCTTTCACTTGTCTGTATTTGCATATGTATTAGAAATAGACAAGGGATCCTCTGCGATCACTTAGAACCTCTGCGTTCACTTGTCTTGTAGAAACGAAAGCGAAAGCACACGGCCTCTGTCGCCACCCCAATTACCAAAGGTAATTTGTTTGAATAAGAAAAGAAAGAACCACCAATAAAGTCATGAATTAATTAAGAATCAAACTAATTATTATTATTTTTTTTTTGTCTTGCAGGTATTTTTTAAAATAGAGTTACCAATTTGAGTTGTTATTTTTTTAAAGACTCATAATTGATATGTAAAATTAAAAAATATTTTCTCTTAAACTTATAAACCATCTTAAATATATATGAGCAATGCCTTATATTAATATCGGGTTCCTTTACAAAAAATTGATTCAAATTGTTATAGTAAGTCAATTTAAAATTAAACAAGTATAAAAGCTGTAAGCCGAACATTGATTATTCTCCACCATTAGGAACGAATTTGGCAATTCTAAAAAACAATAAAATCCATTAAAAAATTCTGTTAAAATCTTAAAAATATTGAATGTAGTTGTTACTTTAGGGGCTAACGACGACACGGACCTGCTTAAGTAACTTTTGTCATAAGCCATTACAGTATTGAAATGCGAAACTTAAAACAAATGGTGAATAATGTTGCTATAATCTTCAAAATACCGAATATGGGGAGGTAACGTTATATGGGGAGATATACGAAGACGTTGACTTGAACAGACAATCTCCTGTCATAAGCTGTAGCATCCATTATAAACATCAAATACCAAATTTGAAACAATTTCGGTGAATAATGTTGCTTAAATCAATAAAATACTGAATTTTGGAAGGTACCGTCATATGAAGTCTTACCAAAACGTAGAGAGTGATTTCCACAGACGGATAGACGGACGCACATCGCTAAATCGATGTAGAATTTTATGCTGATCAAGAATTTATATACTTTGTGGGGTCTAAAATGTATATTTCGAGGTGATACAAACCGAATGACAAACTCAATATACCCTCTATACTATGGTGGAGGGCATAAAGTAAAGTCAAAAACATTAACTTCGGCTGGGCTGAGCTTTAAATGTCCTCCACCATTAGCTAAAGAAATCATTTTTGCATAAGAGTATCTTTATGCAAACGTGTTCCACTATAAACTACAAATATCGGGAGGTACCTTTAAATGGAGGATATAATAAAAGGGCAATGTTCTGCACAATATAAAACAGGCAATGTTTTGCACAATACGGAGTATCCGTTTAAAATTCTTAATATCAACATTGAAACAATTCTGAAAATTGTGACTAAGACCACCAAAATAACGAATATCGGGAGTTACTCCTATATGGGGGCTATACCAAACCGATATATCTGATTCAATTTATTATATATATCAACGTCAAAAAATGTGGCCTCTGTCGTAATTTAACACACTGGCGAATGACAGACAGAATCCACTTAGAATTTTATGCTGTTAATAAATATATATACTTTATGGGATCTACTACGAAAATTTAAAGGTGTTACGAACAGAATGGTAAATTTCCTCCTTTGCAAGGTGGAAGGTATATAAAACAAATAATGTTCACCTGTAGTACGTAACTTACATAAAAACTATTGT